CCATTTCTTTACTAGATATGGTGTCTCTGCTCCTCAATTATCCACCCTAGTGGTTCAGTTCTTTCCTCTCCTCACCATCACTCCTTTTCTAATTTCTCTGATACTCACTTCACAGTAAACTTTAAACTGGGGACTTCAGAATGGATACTGATTGCTGGCAATTCTGGAAATTACTGGATGCTCTGAATATTGGGAAGTGAGGGGAAGGTCAGGATCAAGTGGAATAAGAGGTTGAAGCTGAAAGGGACACATGTCATCATAAGACATAGGTTTTTGCAACCTTCTTCTGGGCATGGAAGATTCAAGCTATACCCAAAGGCTTTGGCATCAGTGAAAATACAGCTCTCTGGGTTGTGTCCCTTGGGTCCTCTGAGCATCTCTTGGGCTGATGCCTCCTCTCTGCATTTGTGTTCATGCACTGAACAGACTACACTCTCTATTCAGAGGTCTGAGCATCAATTTGGCAGAGAGTCCCCTCCTGAGGTCTGGGCATCAGTCCTACAAGGTCCTTCCTTTGAGCTCCTAGCTTCTTTTGTTTCCTCTTGTTTCTTTCCTTCACTTTTTAATATCAGGGTACTTCAGCATCTTCTTGTTACTCTTTAACCTTCTAATATATATATATGTATATATATATTTTTTTAATTCAATACCTTTCCTTTATTTTATTTTATTTTATTTAAAAAAAAATTTTTTTTCTTTTTTTTTTTAAATTTTTATTTCTTTTCAGCGTAACAGTATTCATTGTTTTTGCACCACACCCAGTGCTCCATACAATCCGTGCCCTCCCTAATACCCACCACCTGGTTCCCGCAACCTCCCACCCCACGCCCCTTCAAAACCCTCAGATTGTTTGTCAGAGTCCATAGTCTCTCATGGTTCACCTCCCCTTCCAATTTCCCTCAACTCCCTTCTCCTCTCCATCTACCCTTGCCCTCCATGCTATTTGTTATGTTCCACAAATAAGTGAAGCCATATGATAATTGACTCTCTCTGCTTGACTTATTTCACTCAGCATAATCTCTTCCAGTCCCATCCATGTTGCTACAAAAGTTGGGTATTCATCCTTTCTGATGGAGGCGTAATACTCCATAGTGTATATGGACCACATCTTCCTTATCCATTCGTACGTTGAAGGGCATCTTGGTTCTTTCCACAGTTTGGCGATCGTGGCCATTGCTACTATAAACATTGGGGTACAGATGGCCCTTCTTTTCACTACATCTGTATCTTTGGGGTAAATACCCAGTAGTGCAATGGTGGGGTCATAGGGAAGCTCTATTTTTAATTTCTTGAGGAATCTCCACACTGTTCTCCAAAGTGGCTGCACCAACTTGCATTCCCACCAACAGTGTAAGAGGCTTCCCGTTTCTCCACATCCTCTCCAACATATGTTGTTTCCTGTCTTGCTAATTTTAGCCATTCTAAGTGGTGTAAGGTGGTATCTTAATGTGGTTTTAATTTGAATCTCCCTGATGGCTAGTGATGATGAACATTTTTTCATGTGTCTGATAGCCATTTGTACGTCTTCATTGGAGAAGTGTCTGTTCATATCTTCAGGCCATTTTTTTTAATATGATTGTCTGCTTTGTGTGTGTTGAGTTTGAGGAGTTCTTTATAGATCCTGGATATCAACCTTTTGTCTGTACTGTCATTTGCAAATATCTTCTCCCATTCTGTGGGTTGTCTCTTTGTTTTGTTGACTGTTTCCTTTACTGTGCAGAAGCTTTTGATTTTGATGAAGTCCCAAAAGTTCATTTTCACTTTTGTTTCCTTTGCCTTTGGAGACATATCTTGAAAGAAGTTGCTGTGGCTGATATCGAAGAGGTTACTGCCTATATTCTCCTCTAGGCTTCTGATGGATTCCTGTCTCACGTTGAGGTCTTTTATCCATTTTGAGTTTATCTTTGTGTACAGTGTAAGAGAACGGTCGAGTTAAGTCAATGTACAGAAATCAGTGGCTTTCTTATACACTAACAATGAAAATACAGAAAGGGAAATTAGAGAATCGATTCCATTTACTATAGCACCAAGAACCATAAGATACCTGGGAATAGATCTAACCAAAGAGGTAAAGGATCTGTACTCAAGGAACTACAGAACACTCATGAAAGAAATTGAAGGAGACACAAAAAGATGGAAGACCATTCCATGCTCTTGGATCAGAAGAATAAACATTGTTAAAATGTCTCTACTGCCTAGAGCAATCTATACTTTTAATGCCATTCCGATCAAAATTCCACCGGTATTTTTTCAAAGAGCTGGAGCAAATAATCCTAAAATTTGTATGGAATCAGAAGAGACCCCGAATCGCTAAGGAAATGTTGAAAAACAAAAACAAAACTGGGGGCATCACGTTACCGGATTTCAAGCTTTACTACAAAGCTGTGATCACCAAGACAGCATGGTACTGGCATAAAAACAGACACAAAGACCAGTGGAACAGAGTAGAGAGCCCAGATATGGACCCTCAACTCTATGGTCAAATAATCTTCGACAAAACAGGAAAAAATATACAGTGGAAAAAAGACAGTCTCTTCAATAAATGGTGCTGGGAAAACTGGACAGCTATATGTAGAAGAATGAAACTTCTAACATGTTTTGTAACCAGTCCCCTTTGTTTGAAATTCCTTGTGTGGGTTCTTCCCACACTAGATCCTGATTGAAACAGAAACCTAAAGAATTTGGGGGCCAGATGATAGGACCCTTTAGATGTCATTTTTTTGGTGAGCTTCCCAAGAAAGGAGGTATGTTGATTGATACATAATTGAGAAGCTCTTCGGTTGGACAGAGGGGACCTAAGAGAGGTGACACTGGCTGAGCCTGGCTTTGAACACAAGTGTGTCCAAATTCATTATCACACTCTCTCCTGGAGTAACAGATAAACTGGAAGCCAAAAGTGATGGGATTGAGGGCTCAAAGGAAAGGACCATATTCCTCCAAGGCCAACAAGGGGATGGGGGTGAAAAGTATCAGAGGATGAGCAAGGAGACTTTCAGGGGTGGGAAGAGGGGCTCATGGAGGTGCTTGCCTAGAAGGTTCTGTCTTAGCCCTTGCCTCCCATCCCCCCAGCTAGGCATATAAATATAAAGTTGTTTCCAGTCTTTTGAAATTCACCTTAATCAAGTTAGCTTCTGCCTCAGAAAATTTTTGTGCTTAACCTCAGTGAATGAAGGTTGGAATATAATAAACATGGTCCCCCCCGGCCCCCAAAGTAGTAATAACGGTTACCATTCATTGTAAACCTACAAATGCATTATGCATATGCAAATGCAAATGCCATTACTAGACCAGAGGGTAGAGGATAAGTTGGGATCTGGGGCTCAGGTTTTAGGGAGATCATTGCCAACCATTTTAGTCCTCAGGCAGTTCTGGAGTCTACTGCATTTTGGAGGTACCAGGGACCTCGGTTAAGGGTACACTGCTCAGTGTCTGTGGCTTCTCAAGGGGGTAGAGGTGCTAAAAGAGTACAATAGGGGAACTTTCAGCCTAGCCCTCTTTTCAGGGGTGGCCTGAGGTGGTTTGGGCATGGTTGGACGGCCAAGAATGCCATGTGGACCCTGCCTGAAGCTCACAGCTAATTTTGCAATCACAGGGCTCCTTTAGTGGAACTGTAGAGGGTAAGCTTGCCTGCCCCAGCAGATGGACTTCTTTTGTGAAGGGCCTGGCATTGTAGCCTGAGTGACAAGGCAGGATAACTGGGTTCTGGGAAAGTCCCTCAGTGTCCCCTTGCTGAGAAACCTGGGGACTGTCATCAGCTCTATTTCCCCATGGGCGTGGTTTGGTGCAGCTCAATGCTGATGCTATGATTTTGCCATCTGAGACTCCCAAGATTTTCTGACATACAATTGCCACGCCCCACCAAGGTAGTGGCACCTCCTCCATTCTACCAAATAAATGGCAGTCTCTGTCAGAGCCCTTCACTGCTCTTGGGAGCTGTTGGAGCTGTGATTCAGTCCCCTGGACTATTGATAAAGGTCCAGCAAGTCCTCCAACTTTTTAACCTTCCCTCTCTTCTGTGCTTTAGGGCTCAGGGAAGAGATGGGGCTATGCCAGGCTCTGTGACTTGTCCAGTGCCTGTCTAGCTGCTTCTCACTTTCTCACTTCCCAGGGAGTTGCTAGGAGCCTGACAGAGCTGCCCTGCCCCCAGGCAGAAGCAGATGTCAATGGGGGGAGGAGGAGGAGATGCATGCAGGCGCCTTAAGGTCAAAAGTCATGCCTTAGAAGTTATAGGAATATCTGGTCACTGGCTGGATCTTTGGGTGGAGGAAGTTCTGCCCGAGGTCTCCTCCCTGTTGCTACCTTGAAGTTTTGTCTCAGGAGGTGGATCAGATTTTCTGAGTAGGGCTCTGTGTCAGGCCAGGCTTCCCAACTCCTTGTCCAGAATGAGGATCTCAGTAATTAGTGTCCTAGAAAGGTCTTGGAAATATTTCCTGAAGCTCATATCTACTATCACTGTCCCCACAGGTGTTGAGACAACCCCACTATGACATGCATTCGAGGAATCCCTATTTCTGGAGAACCCTTAACAGCAGGTGATGTTGAGATGGGGCTCTGGAGGCCTGGGACACCTGCACTCACACCTGTTTCTTCTTGATCTCCTGGCTGCCCCAGCATTTTCTGCCCTTTTCTGCCCTTCTTTGTGTATGGCTCTTACCATCGAGTGTTCTCCAGTTTCCCGTGGACAGTGAGCTTCTGCAGGGTGGGGAGCATCTAGCTCCAGACCCGGCATCAAGCCAAGCACAGAGGAGGCATCAGAGGGAGTAGCTGGGATTCAGCACACATGTCCTATGGGACATTTTACCCTCTTAGACCAGTTGCAGTCCTGGCCTGCCTCACCGCAACCCACAGCTTTCCCAGAAAGAAAGGCTGAGCTGAGGGTCATGTGAATGCTGTCAGTTTTGGTGTGTAAACCCTGGACCTTCCTTCCCGAAGGGCCTAGCATCTAGCAAAATGGCCTAATTATAATGGTTCTCCATTATTCTTCTCTCTTTAAACTGCAGTGAATCAACCTCATACTGGGGAGGTATCCGACTCAAATCAGCAGGTGTGGGTCCTTCAGGGTCAGACCATTGTGACAGTTCCACGGAGTAACAGTGTGACCCCAGGTGAGTGGTCATCCCACGGCTGCTGCCTTGGAAGCAAGGGAGGGGTCACAGTGCACCTGGGATGCTGGCACTGGCCTTTTGTGGAAGGGTGGCCTGACAACAGGGCCCATGTGGAAGGAGGAGAATTTCACAGCTGCCTGGGAAGCCATGTCAGGGAGAAGTTTGTCTGGACCAGGGTATAGAAAGCAGAGAGGGTAGAACAGCCTCTTTGCAGGGCAGGAGAGTTGCTTTCAGTGACTGATGGCCTGTCCCATGGAAGAGGAGTATCTTTTCCTGCCTGACTTCAAAGTGTCCTAAAAGGATTAAATGAGTGGGTACAGGAAGGCAGATTTGAACATCACATTAGGCAAAACTTGGTAATGGATGGAACTCTTCAAGGATCAGAGAGGTTGCTAGGGGTTGGAACTTCCCACCTCCAGATGTTTAAGCAGAGGTGTGACAATCTCTAGGGCAGGGTCTGCCATCTGTTTAACTCTGTGTGCTTGCTCCATTTCCGAGGGCCATGACTGGTACATGAATGAATGAATGAATGAATGAATGAATGAATGAGGTAGTTGGCCATTTGGTGGGCCTGGGGTAGCAGGGATGATACTTCTAAGTTTTCTTCCTGCAACACCTGAAAGATCCTGGCCTTGTCCTGACTTCGGAGGAAACTGACACCATCTCCGCTCTTATCTTTATTAGTCACTGTCACTGTTGTCCCATGCAAGTACCCAGAATCGCTCGAGCAAGGCAGAGGGGTTCCCATTTACTTGGGAATAGAGAATCCAGAAATGTGTTTGTCTTGTGAGGACATTGAAGGGCAGCCCACATTGCAACTGAAGGTAAGTATGAAAAATAACGTTTTAAAAAAAGGGCCAATTTCTTTTAAAAAATGTTTATTTGGTAGATAATCTAATTTTAGAATTAAAAAAGAAATACTCTCCCATTCTTAAACATAGTTACTATTCCTAGATGTTTTTGAGTCCTGTGCATGCAACTGAGTTATCCTGCCCCTTGCTAGTTGAGGGTGTTTGTCTTTCTTGAATTTTGAGATATTCTCAACCATTATGTCAAGTAAACTTCATTCTACCTTATATTTCCTTTTGGAATTCCTATACCTTAGTCATTGGAACTTCTAGATCCTCTTTAATATCTCGTCTAAATTTCCATACTTTCTATCCTTTCATTGTTTTTGTTTTTTGCTTGTTGCATCCTGGGAGAATTTCTTGGTTCCATCTTCCAAGTCATGATTCCATTTTAAGCTCATCCTGTCTGCTAAATCATTCTCTCCTTGCCATTTTCTGAAATTTCAATCTTTACTCTTCTTCCTTAAACTTCAGTTCCATAAACTTGTTTAATTCAGTTCAATTTAGTTTAACCCCATCCAATTCAGTCCAGCAAATATGAGAGTTCTTACTGGCCTCCAGCTCTGTTGTGGCTATCTGAAACATGTGGAGGCCCAGAATGGCAGAGAGCCCTGCCCTCACGGGGCGTGGATTCTAGCAGGAGGAGAGAAATGGTAGACAATAAGTATCATGATGGGTAAGTCGGTGATGTCTTTAAGGGTGTTATGTCCCCTAGGAAAGCAGGAGAGAGAGGCTGGTAGTGCTAGACCCAGGTGGAGTTGGGCTGCCATAGAAAATAGTGCAAGCAGGCATGCTAAGATTTTAGCAGACAATAGAAGACAACAAGAGAGTTAGCCAGCAGCATGTGGGGAGAGCAAGGATTAGTGGAGGAAACAGTGTGTCAGCAGTGAATTAGGGAGGACGAATTCGGAGAGACAAACGTAGATTATAAAGGGCCTTGCTGGCATTTGTAAGGACTTTGCCTTTCAATCTGAGTGCAATGGGGGAATTATTAGAATGTTTTTAATAGAAGAGTGACATGAGTGGACACAGGTTTTAAAATAATTATTTTGGCTGCCAGTTGAAAGCAGACTGTGGTGGGGGGCAAAGGTGAAAGTCTTGTGGGGGACTTTGAGATGATCTAGGTGAGACCTGATGAATTAGGGGATAACAGTGGAGGTGGGAGGTAGGTAGCCAGTTAGATTCTGAAAATATTTTATTTAATTTGAGACAATAAGATTTACTGACAGAATGAATGTGGAGTGTGGTGAAGGAGGACTGTCAATTGCATTTTCAGCTACGTCTTGTCTAGTAAGCTGCCCTTCTATTGTGGTTTTGTCCTCAGATAAGTTAATAATTGACCACTGCCTTCTACCATGTATGGGTCCTTAGGGACCTTGGTAACAGCAGTGTTTCTGCAGTGCTGGAGGTGGAAAGCCTGGATGGAGGGGGTCTAAGAGAGGGATAGGAAGGGAAAAATCCAGGACAGCATATATAGACAACTATTACAGGGAGGTTTCTGCAAAGGGGAGCTGGGATGGTGGCAGGCATTCAAAACAGTTATTTTTTAAGATGGTGGAATGACTGCAAATATGCTACTGGGAATTATGGACAGAAAGACAAAATGATGACTTGCTAGAGAAGCAGCCATAAACTGGGGAGGGCAGAGGGGACCTATAGCCCAGTGCTTTCCAGGCTGTAAGTTGGAAGGGAGGAGGAGGATGTACTGGAGTTTGAAATGAGAAAGTGTCTTTTTATTTAATGAACACATCTCTTTTGAATTTCTCTGTGTTGAGGAATGCAATGATGAACTAGTCTAGCAGTGATGATATGCCTGAGAGTTAAATATACTAAGTTCAAATGATGATTGGAACTAATGAAGAAAATAAGATAGGGAGAGGGTTTGAATGTGGCTGAATTACAGACCATTCCGTGTAGTAGCTCTCTGGAGATATTTGTGCATGTGTAATTTAGTTAGAAATATTTATTTTACTTAAATACATGGTATATAAATATACAAAATATGCTTCTATATGTGATATAGAAGGCATTTTCTGATTGCTCTATTTACTTTGTTGTTGTTGTTGTTTTTAATGCAAATCCTCTAGTTTTTTAGAGACTCTTGTGTTTATTTCATGGCAGTGACCTCTGTCACACGTTGGCAGTTGGTCAAAGATGAAAGCAAACTTGGGTTAGCGCAGTGGTGTCTGCAGGGCGGTGGCTCTCATTGCTGCAGCTTTGGTAGGAGAGGTCCTTGGTTTACTGCTGCAAATCTGCATGTCCTTCCTTTTCCTCTGCTCGGCCTCTTGTGTGAGGAGAGTCCCAACTCATTGTTGGAGTGTGCCACTTGTTCACTAACATGTTTCTCATGTCTTTTCTCCTCTGTTTCTGGATCTGAGGCTGGGGACTGGGAAGGTGAGATTGTGTGCTCCCTCTGCTGCTCCCAACCCATTTTAAAAGAGGGATAAGGCTTTCTCATACTTTGGAACATTTACTGTTTGTGTACAAGTAACTTTGAACGACTCACACTGTCTCTGCTTCTTCTGCTGGGTGTTCTCTATCACATTTCAGGAGGAGAAGATCTTGCATCTGTACAATGAAGTGGAGCCCGTGGATCCCTTCCTCTTCTACCGCTTAGAGATTCACAGTACCTCCACCTTTGAGTCTGTGGCCTTCCCTGGCTGGTTCATTGCCTCCTCTGACAGAGGCCACCCCATCTTCCTCACTTCACACCAGGGGGAAAATAATGTTAACTTCAATTTAAGTATCAATGCTTGAACTCAGGCTGGAGGGGATATCCTGGTCAGAGGTCTTTGTGTTAAATTTTGTAGTTACCAGCATGCTTTCCTCTATACTATCTCAGTGTCATTTCACATCAATGCTCAGAGGTGGGCAGGACCCTGTTATCACCGTACTTTATGAATGACTTCACGGCAACTGAGGCATAGAATGTGGGCTCAAACATAGAAGGGAGGGGTGATGAAAGGTTCTCCTTTCAGGCTGAAGCTGTTCATCCCACACCCATCCCACAGTGTGAGTATGAGGATGTTGGGACCCAAAGACATTAGGGCATTCCCTGGGGGTGGATATGGAGAAGGTTGGAGCTCATGAATCTTACCCAGAATTGGATAACTAGCACGGAACTGATTGTTTTTTGTTTTGTTTCCTTTCCTATTTGGATTACATTTTCCATATAGTTTGTATGTTGCCAGTATATCTCAAGTTGTGTTATGTATGCTTTTAAGGGTTAAAGAACTTTTAAAGATAAAGATTCTTAATAATAGTTAAATTACTTTTTCCCAATTTTAATATGTAAACATAAAGCCAAATATAAACTTCATGTGTTTATACAATAAGAAAGCTAAAACTTAAGATATAAAATGAAATGGCAAACATAGTAAACTGAAATTAGCAAGAATAATTGAATGAGGATAGCTGGGTGGGTGAGCCTGGGACTGGGGCTTAGCTGGGGGGAGGAGAACCCCTGTTGCTAGTGATAGACTAGGGGTGAGATGATGCATGTAAAAGAGAACTATTATTTCACTACTTTCTGTATAGTCTCACAGCCCTGATTTCTTTGCCTCTTCTAGACTTTTCTTTTTAGGCATACTCACCATCCACATAATCCTTTAAAAACTGCAGGAAAGGTCCATTTCTTTGGAACAGAGAGCCTAGCTTTTCCAGGAGCCATGCTACAGATGATGTATTTTAATGAAACCTGATGAAATCTGATGAAATCTGATGAAATTAAAGCATTGATTGTGGGTATAATTGTAGAAAGATATAGCTCAGATCTGGTTCTGTATATAATACTTTTCCTATTTTGACTCTGTTATTACAAATGCAGAAAATTCTGTTTGCTTAAGTACAATTTCCAAAATAGCACCAGTAAATTAAATTTGTTTTTTTTTTCCCTACTTTTGGACAATCAGAACACATACTCTTCTAGGCAGGCCAGTAAACAAACCATCAGTAAGAACAAATTTAATGCAAGGTGTCTTGATTCTTTAAAATTTTCTTCTTCCATTATATATAGTTTTAGCACTGTAGTTTTATAAAAAATAACATTAAAATGGGCACTGAGCTAATTAGTTCTGGGATATGAAATAGAAGAATTGGCTATTGAATATTTATGACTATGCTCCCTACTAATAAATGGTGGCAGTGTCTTACGTCTGCCAATTTACATTGTTACATTGTCAGTTGTTAAATTTGACAATTGGATCCCAAGGACACATTTGCTTGTGACATGATTATGGTCCGAGTGTTATAGCATCTCCAGACTACTACAGGCTGTGTGGTAATTCCATTGTCCCATCTCTTTTCTCTACCACAAAAATTGCTCGTGCAGACACTGTGACACTTTGGATTGTCACTTGGCATAGATCTGAGCCCAAACAAAAGCTCAAATATGAGTCCTGGTGTCATGTAACTGGCTATCCTGGCTATCAGAGATTCTGATAACATATTTAGAGAGTGATCAAGTATAAACATAGTAATCTCATAGTTTGTGGAACTGGAGAACAGACTTCCAGGGATCCCTGGCTTATCCATCACATTTGAGAAATACCACAGCATATGAAATCGTGGAAGGCCCCTGTGAGTAGTGACATCCTCATTTTCAAGTTTATGGCCTGGTGAACACCTGGTTTCCACACAGAGTATCAGTGCTCTGGCATCTGAGTTCTAGGAGCTCCAGGTCAACATTCCTTGAAGGATTCAGTTCTTTTGAGTCTTTAGCAATGGGGTGGTATAAAGGACTTGATACAGTGTGTTGGGGGAGGTCATTGAGAGGATATGATCACCCCTTGACCCACGACCCAGACTCTGGCAGTTGGAGGCTCCTCACCCACTCCCCTGTCCTTTCAATGTGTGTGCTCTGCCTGCTTTCCCTGCTCCCAGAAGCTCTCCCAAGGACACAACTTGGAGATAGTGATGTGTTGTTGAGACATCTGGATGGAATATGTGGCTGAACCCAGTTAAAGCTTCAATATAAATTTTAATATTCTAGTGGGTGAGTATGGAGATCTACTTGTCTTGCAGCTGCCTGAAGACAAGTGTCTTATATGAGTTTCCCTGTTTATTAAATTTGCCACCTACCAATCTGGGGTGAATCGTCTCTTTCCTTTTGGTCTCAATCCTGACCCCCACATATGAGGAGCAGTTTCATATTATAGCCAGGAAGCTCCTGAGGAAGTGTAATCTGACAGATTATACTGAGAGATGGGCTTTGGGATTCCGGGAAGGAATTAAGAACCTTGCCACCAAAGTCGCAACTGCAGTGAAAACAGTTGAGTGGGATGTTTTTCTCCTTTGGGGATTGTATCTTCTGACACCAGGATTGCTGAAAGGCAAAGACTGTTTCCTGAAGCTGGACCTGATGATACCATCCCTGAACTCATGAACGATCGGGCATAAGGGACTGAAGGTGCTGCCTCCGGGACCTTGGGAACAGTGGCTGTAATAAACAATTCTTCATGTCAATAAAACATGACTTTTTCTTTCCCAGGCTTTAAAAAGTTGTTTAAAAGAAAATTCTTCCAGAACCATACGTGTCTATGATTAAAAGTGACATTCTTCTGTCCCGATCCTCTTTCTATGAGGCTCTTTTCTCAGTTTTCCTCCATGTGTCTAGGGATATGTTTTACTTCTACTTCTTGAACTACCAACTTTAGACATTATCTTTTCTACCAGAAGGATGTCATTTGGATCTCTACTGTACAAAAATCATATGCTCTTTATCTCTTTAATAGAAGTATTAATTATTAAATCAAGCAAAATTATTTTTATAGAGAGTCAGATGACCTTTGGGTAGGCCTGTTAAACAATGCTCTACTATGGCATTGAAAAGGCACACCATAATCTCCTTGCTTTTTCAAGATTTGGATAACTTTTCTGAATGACATAATTTTCCTCCAGCTTTTTCTTTTTATGGGTAAGGAAAGGGGGATACGTGGAAGTGGGTATGACATGCTGAGGACTACACTGACATTTAGAAAAAGGACTGGAAATATGATAGTCTTGATTTTTGGTGTTTCAATTTCTGTCTCCTTGTGTTGGTATGTTATGAAGCACTGTGTGAGAAATCAGCAACAATTACACAGAGCAAGACAGCTAGAGCAAAGTACGAGCCATCTCATTCCCATCATTGGGTCTATCCTTATCTAGCAGGGTCTCAGTAGATGACCCACCTAGGGCCATCTAGACCACCTAATTATTATAATGTAATGGCATCAGTGCTTTGTCTGTAGTGTCATTTGAGTATCTTCTCCCATTCTGTGGGTTGCTTCTTTGTTTTGTTGACTGTTTCCTTTGCTGTGCAGAAGCTTTTGATCTTGATGAAGTCCCAAAAGTTCATGTTTTGCTTTTGTTTCTTTTGCCTTTGGAGATATTTTGAAAGAAGTTGCTGTGGCTGATATCTAAGATCTATAAAGAACTCCTCAAACTCAACACACACAAAACAGATAATCACATCAAAAAATGGGCAGAAGACATGAACAGACATGTCTCCAAAGAAGATATACAAATGGCTAACAGACACATGAAAAAGTGTTCATCATCATCATTAGCCATCAGGGAGATTCAAATCAAAACCACATTGAGATACCACCTTACACCAGTTAGAATGGCCAAAATTAACAAGACAGTAAGCAACAAGTGTTGGAGAGGATGTGGAGAAAGGGGAACCCTCTTACACTGTTGGTGGGAATGCAAGTTGGGCAGCCACTTTGGAAAACAGTATGGAGATTACTTAAGAAATTAAAAATAGGGGCGCCTGGGTGGCTCAGTGGGTTAAACTTCTGCCTTCAGCTCAGGTCATGATCCCAGGGTCCTGGGCTCAAGCCCCACGTCGGGCTCTCTGCTCAGCAGGGAGCCTGCCTCCCCCTCTCTCTCTGCCTGCCTCTCTGCCTACTTGTGATCTCTGTCTGTCAAAAAAAAAAAAAATCTTAAAAAAAAAAAAGAAATTAAAAATAGAGCTACCCTATGACCCTGGAATTGCACTACTGGGTATTTACCCCAAAGATACAGATAGTAGTGAAAAGAAGGGCCATCTGTACCCCAGTGTTCATAGCAGCAATGGCCACAGACGCCAAACTGTGGAAAGAACCAAGGTGCCCTTCAACAGACGAATGGATAAAGAAGATATGGCTCATCTATACAATGGAGTATTATGCCCCCATCAGAAAGGATGAATACCCAACTTTTGTATCAACATGGACAGGACTGGAAGAGATTATGCTGTGTGAAATAAATCAAGCAGAGAGAGTCAATTATCATATAGTTTCACTTGTGGAGCATGAGGAATAACACAGAAAGCATTGGGAGATGGAGAGGAGAAGTGAGTTGGGGGAAACTGGAGGGGGAGACAAACCATGAGAGACTGTGTACTCTGAGAAACAATCTGAGGTTTTGGAAGGGAGGGGGTGGGGGAATTGGGTGAGCCTGGTGGTGGGTATTATGGAGGGCATGTATTGCATGGAGCACTGGGTGTGATGCATAAACAATGGATTTTGGAACACTGAAAAAAATAAATGGCGTCAGTGCTGAAATATATTGTGTATCTGTATTTCTCAAACTTGAAGCAATATCAGAATTATCTGGGGTCTGAAATAAAAGCTCAGATGTTTGGGCTCACTTTGGATCTAGTGAATCAAAACCCATTTCTCTCATTGCTGCTATAAACATTGGGCTACAGATGGCCCTTTTTTAACTACATCTGTATCTTTGGGGTAAGTACCCAGTAGTGCAATTGCAGGGCCATAGGGAAGCTCTATTTTTAATTTCTTGAGGAATCTCCACACTGTTCTCCAAAGTGGCTGCACCAACTTGCATTCCCACCAACAGTGTTTATAGCAGCAATGGCCACGGTCGCCAAACTGTGGAAGGAATCAAGATGCCCTTCAATGGACGAATGGATAAGGAAGATGTGGTCCATATACACTATGGAGTATTATGCCTCCATCAGAAAGGATGAATACCCAACTTTTGTAGCAACATGGACGGGACTAGAAGAGATTATGCTGAGTGAAATAAGTCAAGCAGAGAGAGTCAATTATCGTATGGTTTCACTTATTTGTGGAGCATAACAAATAACATGGAGGACAAGGGTAGATGGAGAGGAGAAGGGAGTTGAGGGAAATTGGAAGGGGAGGTGAACCATGAGAGATTATGGACTCTGCAAAACAACCTGAGGGTCTTGAAGGGGTGGGTGGTGGGAGGTTGGGGGAACAAGGTGGTGGGTATTAGGGAGGGCATGTATTGCATGGAGCACTGAGTGTGGTGCAAAAACAATGGATACTGTTAATGCTGAAAAGAAATAAAAAAAAATTAGTGTGAAAAAAAATTTCTCTCAAAATTCCAAATTAGTAGGTTTACAGCACAGCCTAAGAATCAATGTTTTACTAAGGACCTTAAGAAATAGAATGCACTCCCACTGTTCATATGCCCATCATGTCTGTTCTAGGGTAGTTGGTAATGTCAACTAGCAGAGTGGTTTTATTTGCTTGTGTATCTAGTGACTCTTCTGTGGTCACTGGTGGGCATTAACATATAATACAAACATCTTCACATTTTGTGTCCACTCCCATATATCCATCCACATGCCTTTACTCCGTATCTCCTTATCTTTCAGTCTTCTGATCAGCAAGCCACTCATTGACTACTGCCCAGGAAGGAATCTGTGTGTATTGTTCCTTTGGAACATTGTTATTTTCATAGTAAGTGAATGACCTGTTGCCTTATTCCCAGCTATTCCCATTGACTATTTCCTCTCTTCACTGTTCCTTAAGGACACTGCCAAGTGTGTTTATAAAACAGCTTTCATCCACCTTTGCCTGATAGCTCATATTGAGCTGACCAAAGTGTAAACGATACTTGGGCTTTTTTCTCCTCTTTCAACTGGTTATAGGGGGATCCTCCATACAACTGGAAAGGCAAGCTAGGGGAAGGGCACTGGGGCAACTATGCTGGTGACATGGGGATCTTCATTACCTGCTCATATAGCCTACAAGAACCCTCTAGTTCTGCTTGGGGTCAATTCTGGATTGAGAGTGAAGAGCTGCTGGGCATGTGTCTAACTTTATTGCTTGTAGTCTGACATAATTCAAATCAAAATGGACAGTTTGGGATGAATGTTCACGTGGTGCCTCATATATGTGTTTGTTTCTCCCTGAGGGCTCAGCAACACATGAAGAGCTATTTCTGAAAAAGCATAGAATTCTCTACTATAGAGGGCACCGGTGTGGCTCATTTGGTTAAGTATCTGCCTTTGGCTCAGGTCATGATCCCGGGGTCCTGGGATTGAGTCTCAAATCAAGCTCCCTGCTCAGCAGGAAGTCTGCTTCTGCTCCTCTCCCTGCTCGTGCTCTCTCTCTCACTGTTTCTCTTTTAAAAAAGATTTTATTTATCCATTCGACAGACAGAGATCACAAGTAGGCAGAGAGGCAGGAGGAAGCAGGCTCCCTGAGGAGCAAAAAGCCTGAAGTGGGGCTCAATCCCAGGACCCCAGAATCATGATTTGAGCCGAAGGCAGAGGTTTTAACCCACTGAGCCACCCAGGCACCCCTCAAATAAATAAAATCTTTAAAAAATTCTCTGCTATAGAGAATTCTTGGCTTGATGCCCCTTTTTTATTATTCCCTAAAGTGAGCCTTTCCATATCATGAGCTTTAAGTTATCTGAGACTGTTTTTGATTTGCCTTTAATCTGGAAAGAAATTCTCCAGAGTGTGGAATTCCATTACAAGTTTTTTCTTTCCATGTTTGAGATATCATTCTACTGTCTTCTAACTTCCATTGTTGTTAGTGAGAAGTTAGTTGTCAGTCTTCTGCTTCCTTGAAAGTAGTGCCTTTTTATTATCTGTTTCTCTTACTTGCTTATCTTTGTCTTGGATTCTATACAATTTCAGTCTGATACTGATTTCTTTTTATTTACCTTACTTGGGATTTATTGTGTTTCTTAAAACTGTGAATTGGTGTCTTCATCAGTTTGAGGAATGCCAGCAATTTTTTCTTCAAATAGTTCCTCTGCCCTACTTTATCTTTCCTTTTGGGACTCCAATAAATGGCATAGCTTTCTCAATTTAGTCTCCACATATTTTCTACCCTTTTCTGTATTTTCCAACATTCCTGTGTCTGTGCTATAATTTGTATTTCTTCTCATTTATCTTCAATTTATTAATTCTCTTATTCTTTTTTTGTTTCCAGATATATTGAGATATAATTGACATATAGTATTGTGTAAGTTTAAGGTGTACAAAGTAAGGTGGTTATTTGATATACATATTTTTTTGTTGTCTACTTGTGTGTTCTTGTGGTTCACTGAATTTCTTTAAGAGGATCATTCAGGGTTCGTAGACCATTCATTTATCTCCATTTCTTTAGGGTCAGTCATTGGAGTTTTATTAGTTTTCTTTAGTGGTGTTATGTTTCCTTGATTATTTGTGATCCTTGTGAACTTTAATGGTGTCTGTGCATTTAAGGAGGTAGGAACTTCTTTCAATTTTTTGTAGGTTGGCTTTGGAAGGGAAAGCCCTTTACCAGTCAGCTTGGTCCAGAGATTCTGGGTGGGCTTGGTGTTGAAATTCTCAGACAGGCAGGTCTGGTGCCTGGGTTGGCAGGTAGGCAGGTCTGGTGCCTGGGTCAGCAGGTGGGCAGGCCTGTGCTTGGGTCCACAGGGGCCAGTCTGATAATCTGGGTTCACTGGGTTCACAGGCTCAGTGCCTGTCTATGGTGGTAGGCCTGGGACTGGGGTCTGTATAAGATGAACCTGGTGTTTGGGTCCACAGGGGCTGGCCTGGTGGTGGGGTACCCCTGGAGTCTGGTTTCATGGGAACCTAGAAGCTGGGACCGTGAAGGCCACCCTAGCACTTAGGCAAGCCTGAAACCTGGGTCCATGGGAGTTAGCCTGTAGCCTGTAGCTGCAAGGGCCATGAGGGACACTCTGGAGTTTGGATCCATAGGGGCTAGCCTGGAGGCTGGGGCCATGGGAGTTGGTCTGGAAACTGGGGCTCTAGGGACCATCCTGGTGCTGTAGTGGGCTGGTAGCTGGCATCCATGGGAGCCCACCTGGAGCCTAGGTTTATGGGTGTAACCTCTCTAGAGCCTTGAGGACATGGGGTCTGGCCTGGTGCTAGGGCAGCCTGGGGGCCTGAATCCATGGGAGACTGCCTGGATCTTGGGGACAATGGAACTGGGGCAGGCAAGGAGCCTCATTCCATGGGAGCTTATCTGGAGTCTAGGTTTGTGAAGGCTGGCTTGGGTGCTGGGGGAGGCTGGTAGCCTAGGGCCATGAGAGTCAGCCTGATGCTAGGGAGGCCCAGGAGTCTGGATTAGTAGGAGGCTGCCTGGAGCCTGGGTTTTGGGAGGTGTACCCAGTGCTGGGATGGACTAATAGTCTGGGTGTTGGAGTCTAGCCTGATGCTGGGGTAGGCCCAGAGCCTCAGGCCACAGGAGTCAGTCTGGTGGTGCTGCTGGTGCTGGTGTGGACTGGTGGTAGAGCCCACGTGAAGTCAATTCCTTAATTCACTCTCTTCCCATGAGTTGGATGTCTCTTTCCATGCTGGGCTACCTTGGTTTTGTTGAGGGGGGCTGGGTAATGGGAGTAATGTGAAACTATGTTTCCTACTCCTTTTTCAGTGCATCTTTTCTTATTTCTGTATTCTACCCAGGTGCTGTTGTCCCTCACCTGGAATTCTTAGCTCTTGTGGAGGTATTTTTATATATGGATATTTGTTCAAATTGACATTTCTGGAAGGCAGTGAGTGCTAGAATTTCCTATACCATAAGCTAATGGTACTCTCTAATTTTTCTGCTGTGTGTTGTCTGTTGCCAAATACAAATTTTGGTTTATATAATTTTATTTGTTGTGTTAAGTAATTGTAGAGATGCTATTTAACTCTTTCAAATCTGCCACATTTCATAGTTTGCTGTTTTAGAAAAATATATCCATGTTTCTTATTTGCTTCTTAAATATGGTTAAGGTAGTTGTTTTAAGCTCTGTGTATAATAATTACAGAGTCTCTTATTTGTGTACATTTCTGCTATCTTGCTTTGTTAATTTTTTTGGTTCTTGTTCTTGTGATCTTGTTTACTTGTATGCCTGGTAATCTCCAACTACTTGTGGCTTGTTGCCTTTGTAAAATTATTTAAGTGGCTCTGCCCTTCTCTAGAGAGGCTTTCTCTTTGTTTCTGGTGGAAAGTGTTTCATCTATATTAAACCAAATACAGTTTGAGTTCTTGGCTCAAACAAGCAGTGAGTACTCAAAGTAGAAGTCCTCCAGAGGGCTTGTCCATGGCCACAGCCTTCCTGGAATTACTTCTTTTCTTTATATCTTTCCCTTCCCCTCTTTGTGCCAAGACAGCCCACTTCATGGGTCTCAGAGATTGCGGGAAGGTAAGGGTAGGTCTACATCTGGTTTGCTTGCCCCCTCTCCAGTCCTAGATGGCCCCTGAGTCTTGACATCTGTGTGTGTGTGTGTGTGTGTGTGTGTGTGTGTGTGCTACTGTGACTAGAGTATGGTGTGTGTGTGTGTGTGTGTGTGTGTGTGTGTTATATCAGTACAGAACATATGGTAGTTTTAATGTTCCTTTATTTCAGATCCTTATTCCAGAAGTCTTGGATAAACCCTAAGATTCTGCATTTCTGACAAGCTACCAGGTGATGCGAATGCTACTGGTCTACAGATCATGCTTTGAACATTGAAGATATATAGAACAAGGACGGTTCCATCTAATAACTTGGTGAAATGTGAACAGTGGTCAAACTGAATGATGGGAATTGTGCTATAGAAATTGGGAAGGATTTATGGAACTGAGGTGACTATATTATATATATTCTATATTGATGTGAAGCAGTGAAGGATAGATATGGGTGGACAAAGGAATGAAATCCCAAGTTGGATCCAGTACTGGCTACCTGAAGAGAGAAGGAAGGCTATATCTCTAGATTTTATTCCTATGGAGTGCTTTTCTTACAGAGAGAGAAATTTCCTTCACATATTTGACCCAGTGTCCCTTCTCAGGGTCATTCACTACCTTGGTAGTAAAGAATGCACCTCCATACTAGGGAGACATAAGTAGAGGTCTCGGGTTATTTGGTATCACCAAAACCCCAATCACCTCAAATAATGGCACCAGCTACATGGAGCTCCATATATTTATAGGATGAAATAATGACTCTGAAAGGATCCGTGTCTTATTGGCTGTGGTCCTGAATGTGTTTGCATGCGTCATCCATACCAGTGTATCCTGAATATTTGCTTCTTTGTACCTTATGGCAGGACATTGAATCTCTCTCCTCAAGATACCCAAGTGGGTCTGGTCCTATACAAGGAGCGTGGGGGTGATGTCATAGGCTTTGAACTTTCTTCTTAAAGCATAGAAATCAACTCATGTTCATGGATACCTAGGGCAACTCCTCTTCATAGTCACTGATTGATTCTGAATCATAGTTTTGACTCAGAGGCACCTACTGCACATTTAAGTGTGAGTGCTTCATGATTCCATGCTCCTGAGGGAACGGTGATAGGGCTATCCAGGACAAGACCCTAATGACCTTTCATATCCCACTGCGCAGTGGGAATCCCTTGGAAGTGTATACAGTGTAGACATGAGGATGTTAGGTTGATGAGGTAGCACAAATGTCAAGAGCTAGGATGATGTATGTTGGTCAAAGCAAAAAGGCTGATAGAGACAAGTAGGCTGATCTGGGGTCTTGTGACAGAGATAGGAGACTTAGTAGATCAGTTACTACAGGAAGCTGTCATGTACTGGGTGCTTTGAATACTCTTTAACCCACATAATAATCCAGCAAGGTACAATGCATTTCATATAGTAGTTATTTGAGGATCAGAGAAGTGAAAGGACTCTGCCAAGGACACAAGTCTGAAAGTAGCAAAGCCTAATTGTGAACATACATCTTTTGAGTTCAAATCTATGGCTTTTGAACATTTAACTACTCTCTTAGTGTGGGTTCTCCCTGAGAAACCCTACCATTGTCCCACCAGAAGCTGGGGAAACTGACATTTATCCACAAGCCCTTTCCCCCATTGGTTGAGGTTTTCCTTGAGATGAATACCCTTGAAGTGTGAAGCTGACAGGTGCTAGGAACTGTCACAGGGACAGTGAACTCAGTGGGCCTGAAGGGATTGGCACAGAGTATCAACAGCCTCAGTTTTCCTTTATGTAAGGCCTAATGTGTGTCTGCTAGCTCAGAGCTGTGGAGTACTGGGAGCCAGGCTCCCTTTCCCACTAATCCAGGGCAGTGATCCAGAGTCAGTGATAGGCAGGTGCCCAGGAGCAGGCTTTGTCCGGGGGAGGCTCCCTTGAATGGAGAAGCAGCATGTACATAGACTCTGAAAAGCTGGAGAAGCATACACTGGGACATTTTTACCTGGTCTGAGATTGGCAGAGAGTATGGTGACTGTGGTCCAGGAGTAGTTGTAAGCTACACAGGTCTTCGAGGACCCACCTCTTCTTTAGTCTTTCTTAAACCTACTAGGGGCTTCCACTCCTGGGAATAACATCTCAGTATGTCATTTTGTGGCAAAAGAATCCAGTCATCAGCCCTGGGGCAGTCCCATAATGTTTCTTTCCTCAAGCTCAGTGTTGATGACTATATTTCCTGGTTGTTGCTCTTAAGGGCTTGACATGCCCTACTTTTTCAGGGTGAATAGACAAGTCATAACAATGCTTGGTTGACATTTACATACTCAGTGAATCCTCTGGCACCAGGAACCAGCAAATATTGAGTGTTATGCAGTCCCAGCCCAAGTGAGGCAGAACCTCCTTCCTTCCCAGTGTGGATAAAATGCTCAGGACCTGTTGGATTCTGTCACAGCACTTGAGTCCTGAGAAAGCCATAGTCCATAATACAGATTACAGGTGCAGCCTGAAGTCATGAAGCCTGTTGACCTGTGATCTTCTCTTGCATCTGGGTGTCTGGTCTCTCCTGTCTTTTCAGTAAAAGTTAAGAGTCTTAGATAGCTTTCCAGCGCCCTTGGATGCAGATAGAACCTTAACTTTGGATCCAGGAATAAGAGGATCTCTTGGACAAAGGTAATTTCAGCTCAGAAGCCATTTGTGGGAAGTCTTGTTTCACTACTCTATGTGTAGCCTTGGGGGGCTTTGGGGGGCCTTGGGGAACCTTGGTGGAAGCACAGGGTGCTAGAGGATTGAGGGTTTCTTCTAAGAGTGCAGGTGGTGATTTGCTTATTTGCTGTCCAGTGATAACTATTCAATCAGGCTGTGAGGATCCTGGGATGGGGAGGGATGTGAATAGCTGGCTCTCACTATGCAGAGTTTGTGGCCTTCTTGGGGAACTGTCCTGGTTCTCTAATCAAAAGCCCAGGGACAGATGGCCCCTGACAGTCAAAATACCTAATAGAGCTTGTGGATGCCCATGTGCAATATCCTAGCAATGCCTCTTTGAATGAAGAATGGGGGAAGATGCAGGTCAGAGAGGTAGATTTGCTGCCCGTTATTCAGTAGTTTTCAAGCTTGAAGTCAAGATGATTGGTGCCTCAGCAGCCATATGGGAGGCCAGACTGGAGATAGATGCACTGTCCCCCCCCGGCCCATTCCTTCCTTTAAATCCAGAGACTTGTTGCACTAAGCAGTGCCTGAGGTGATGCTCTGGAACCTCCTCACAACCACAGATGTGATGGATGGAGGGCATCTCAAGGCCATCAGAGTCTGGAGAATGAGGACTACCTAGTCATGACGAGATGAGAGTTTCCATTTGGGGTTCTCTGGCCTTGGAAAACCCCATCCTTAGTCTCAAATGTGCATCTGGGACAGGATCTTGGGGCAGGTTTCTCAAAAGAATTTTTACACAAAATTCTAGGGTAGAAGAGGGGTGGTGAGAAATGAATTACATGTTTTTCTTTTTTCTTTCCCCCACAAGACCAGCTGCTGACAACCTCTTCTCTATTATCGATCTACCTTGTCCTCTATCACAGGAAGATCTGAAGCCATCATGGCTACCCCACAAGGTGAGTGGTGAATTTAAAACCAGCTTGGAAATTTCTCCATCCTGCCTCCCCAAAGAAATGGAGTACAAGGGCTCCTATCATTTACTCAGCTATAGATGCATTTTTTCTTACTAAACCATGCAGATTACAAAACCTGCATTTGAAAATCTCAGAGCATTTAGCTCTTTTCTTATTATGTATGTTCAGAATTATTATTTCTTTTGGTAAAGAGAGCAAAGGAAAAAAAAAAAAACAAGAAACCTACCGATGACAACTTGAATATTTTTGGTTTTCTCACTACCCAGAGACTATCAATCAGAAAACAACAAGTCATTGACATCCCTAGAAAAAAGACAAATTTTGAAAATCTATTGGGAACTATAAATGCAGGTAGAATCTTACAGATGCTTTGACCCACAAACCAGTTCCTGCTGTATTTCTTCTCCCTTTCTCCTTATAGCTACTCTTTTTCAGAGCAGTAATCCTACCCTCAAGGATTCAAAAACCATTATTACCAAGATGCAGCTAGAGTCCTGAAGTGTATAATAACCTCATATGTGTTTTGTGCTTTTCTGTCTTCTCTCAGTGGTAGAGTTTCCCAGAATCTTTGGTGTTCATGATTCTCAACAAATGGTGTGGATCCTGAGAGAAAATTCACTAATAGCAACTCCTTTTAGCAGCAATGTCAAACCTGGTGAGTGACAATCAAAGCCACTGTTGCCTGTAAAAGGGACACCAGCTCCACTGGGAATGGGACCAAGCTTGCTTGAGCCTGGCCTTGGGCCCTTCCTACTTCTGGGTGGCAGCCCAATGTCCACAGGAAGGACAAGAAGGTTCTCTTCCACAGAAGAATCCCTGTACCTAGAGATGAGGGTGTGAGGGGCTGACAGTTCCTCTTATCAAGAGAAAATGTCTTCAGATAAGAAGAGGTTGTCCACTTAGGCAGCGGTTGAGCTTCTCCTTGGAGTTTCTCTCCTTTAAATTTCAACCATCGCCACTTATGTCCCCAGAATCAAACTGAATCATCTTTTCACCACCAAACCTGCACACTTTCCTAATTCGGTGTCCTTGCTTCTAATAATGGGGGATATTCCTTCCTCCCAGCAAAAGCCAGTCTGTCTCACCTTCTTTCCCATTTGCTAGAACTTCAATGTTTGATTTAATTCTTCTCTTCCCTGTATACTCCACCTTCGTCTGTCTGGTGGATCCTTTCTATCACTGACAGACATGCTCTAATATAATATTTCTAAGCTTAAAACTAAATACCTTCTCTTGATTCCCACATTCCATTCTTGCTACCATGCTTTCCCCCTGTAACCAATCTCTACACAGTGCTATGTACTAGTCTTCATGGAAGAGCTGGCTACACAACCAGTTTCTACTTCATCTCCTGCTCATGCTTGCATCAAACAACCTGACTTCTGAACTGTTCTCTCAAGCTCCTCTTCCCAAGGTCACCAGATATACTCCCCTATCCTCACAATGTTTGGTTCCTCAGCTACAGTCAGCATAATCAGTAACTCTTTCCTTCTTGAACACTTCTCATCTTCTCCTTCTGTAGGAATATTCTCTGTGGTTCCCTGGCTTCTCTTTGGCATTCTCCTTTCCAACTCCACTTTCTCTATAAAATCTCCAAATGTTGCAGATCCTCAGATCTCAGTCTGCAATCATTATGTAACCCCTCTGAAAGGATTGGGATCTGGTCTCTTAGATTAATGTATCACATTTATCACTCTGGCATTTGTGCTTCCAACCCAGAAGTCCACTCTGGACGATTTACCCATGTCCTCTCCATGTCCCCTCAGACATCTCCAGCTTCATCTATCCCAAGCAGAACTAGGGGTCTGACTTCTCAAAACTGCTGATGAGCCCAGTCTTCTCCATCTCTATTAGTGGCATTACCATCACTTGTTTCCTCGAGCCAGAAGTTCAGGACACATCCTTGATTTGATCTCTATCTAATCCATCAGCAAAGATGGAGGAGTCCATGTGCAAAATATGCTTTATTTCTGAGATAATATCATCTCTTACCTGGGCCACTGCCATTGCCTCCTCACTGTCCTCCCTCCCCCTTCATTTGTGTAGTGTCTCATCCATTCTCTGCAAAGCATTAAGAGTGACCTTCTGAACTATGTTAATTGAAGAGTAACATTCCCATGTGTTTGTATTTTGGGGGTGGGATGTGGGAGCTAGTATGGAGATCTCAGGGGCACCAGTAAAGGCCCACATAGGGGCCTTTGTCCATGCTTTCCCTGTGACGCTCTCCTTTTAGACCCCCTTTAGCTCCCATGTTTTCCTATACTAGTTTCCTCTTAACTTTAAGGTCTTGGCTTGAACTTCACCTCTGCAGAGAGATCTTTCTTGATTCTTCTAAATTTGGACTCCTACTGTCCCAGGCTTTGGTCTCTTCCCCCAAAACAGGCATTGCAATTTATTCTGGTCATTTCTCTGCTTACATCTTTGGTCTCATTTTCTGTGGGGGCAATGACAATGTCTTTCTTATCCTCAGCTAAATCTCTGGGGCACACATGCAGCCTTGTCCTGAGTGGGAATTCAATAAAGAGAGTTGATGGGCGATTTCTTGGCCCTTGCCTAGAAGGATAGATGCAGAACATCCAGGCTCCTGGGCTAAATTAGTTGGGAATTAAATTCAGCTAATAGTGACAGAAAACCCATATAACTGGGACTTAACTAAGAAGTTTATTTCTTTCTCATGAAAAAGAAGCCTGAGCAGGCAGACTGGGGCCAGTGTGGTGGCTCTATGATACCCCCTAGTCCAAAAATTCTAGCTTTCTGCTTACCAAGCCCAAGTTCTCCTCAACCATCATCCAAGTATTTGAGGCCAGCAGTAAGAAGACACAGGGTATAAGAAAGGAGCTTCTCTTAGCTGAGTCAACTCCTTTTAAAGAACATTCTTAGAAATCCCACACAACACTTCCACATTTATCTAATGGGTTACAACTTCAGCATGTGATCAAATTTAGCTGCAAATGTGGTGGGGAATTTCATTTTTATTTTTGGAATATGCCTTGGTAACAACTGGGGTTCTGATATTAAGTAAGAGAATGAAAGTGGGCTTCAGATAATGATGAAGGGTCTCAGCTACATGGTGAACGGGAGGAGCCTTCTGGGAATGTCCTGATGGCTCAGCATCCCCTCCCCTGGCTGGGAGGAGTAATGTCAGGCCAGAAGGACTGGACTTTCTGCTGCTTGGGGCTTGATACCTTTTTCCATTTTTCCTGTGTTTCCAGTCAGTCTTGATTTAATAACATGTACAGACAAAGAATTTCATGATGCGGGGAAAGGCAATCCAGTTTACTTGGGAATCAAGGGCAACCATCTTTGTTTCTTCTGTGCAGAAATTCAGGGCCAGCCTACTCTGCAGCTTAAGGTGAGTGGTGGTACAGTTCATGAGAGAAGCACTGGGAGATACACTTTTTATTTCATTTAACATATCACTGAATAAAAATGAGTTTTTCAATCCTGGATTGTTCAGTTTAAGGAAAGAGATGTGACTTGACTGACCCCCAAGTCAATGGGCATGGTTGTAACATTCATTTGAACATCAGAGCATTCTCTGAAAGCCAGAGGGTACACCCATGAGAATGTTTCAAGAAGGCCAAGGAATTATGGTTTCTTCATCCTCAGTTTTCTTCAACTGCCTCCCAAAACTCCTCCAAGATGCTGGGCTGCTCCCACTTAAGCAAAGGCCACCGAGTGGCATAGGAGACAAGGGGAAGTTATTAGTCTGAATTGTGTGGATTATATGCCTGTGGTTTCTGCACTGAAGGTAGCATTTGTAGTCATGAAGTGAATCTTCTAGTTATGATGAATGCCATAAGATGTCAACCCACTTGGAGGCTGGGAATCTTGTGAAATGTCCACACTTGCAGATGGGTGCCCACCAGAAGCTCCCACAAAAGGGGCTTAAGCCTGTCTCTGTTCTCATGGAAGATAGTGCTTCTCAGAGAATCAGAAGCACTTGGTGTTGTGGGATGCTGAGGTAGAGACAAGCTATTGGGAGCCAGCAGGTTGTCTGTTTTGACACCTGGTGTCCCTTCACCTGCCTGTGTCCCTGGCCTCTGTTCCTCCCTTTGGGGAAAGCAGTCACTCTCAGGGCTGTGTTAATTTAGACCTTTCTCTAAGTAATCCTCTCTAATAAGCTTTTTTCCTGATCCTAGGAGAAAAAGATCATGGATATGTCCAAGGAGAAGAAAGCACAGAAGCCCTTTCTCTTTTTCCATAGTAGGGAGGGCTCCACATCTACCTTTCAATCTGTTTCCTACCCGGACTGGTTCATAGCCACTTCCAAAATGGCAGGGCAGCCTGTAATTCTCACCAAGGAGAGGGGCAAAAATTACACCACTAACTTCTATTTAGAGCCTGAGGACTATATTCAGCCTGTGAGAGGCTGATTCCAGAACAGAGGATCAAGCAGTCAGAGAACCTTCCATTCTGAAACACCACAGGTCATCTTGAGAGACCAGCATGCACTGATGCCCATCCATAGCCCACCTCACTCTCAACACCCAAAACCACCTCTTCCTTTAGACATCCATTTCTGCACCATGTCTCCCCTTCTGAACATTATTCTAGTATAAAACCCGAGTCACTTTTTAATTCTTTCCAGATCTTGTCCCGCCATCCACTTAGCTGCCACATCCAGTTAAATCAACATCCAAAATGCCTCCTGTACACACCTCTTTCTTCCTTTTCTTTCTGACAACCTATGGCCTAGAGTTGTGAGTTCCAAACATTTTTGTTCATACAATACTGTCAATAAAAGAGTATTATTTGTTAATTCTGCATGTTTATTACAAATATTATGATGTGTGTTCCAAAATGAATCTAAAGTTTTTATCTATTTAATCTCTACACCCCACATGGGGCTCAAACTCATGACCCTGAGATCGAGAGTCACATGGCCCTTCCGACTAAATCAGCCAGGTGCCCCACCAAAGATGAATCTAAAGGATAAGATAAATGTGAAATAAAAATTTTACATGTCTTGGTCATCATAATGGATTCATAATATCATTAGTTAACAATTTGACAATAATATGTACTTTGGTTAAGATTAATTATTAACTGTAGTGAATTTAAATCAATCCATATTTTGGAGAATCACTTGTATGGGTTTAAATTTTTTTCAGGTGACTTCTCAGAACTTATTGTATTACCTTTGTTTTTACTTATAAATTAGCTCAAAGTAGAAGTGCCAGCTTTGATATTTTCCTGTTATTATTCATGTTTTCTGGGATTTTAGTCAAATCTCTAATCAATAGTTCCTTTATTAGGATGCTTTTAGGCCAGTTGTCCATTTGGTGAACATTACTTTATTTAAAGCCCATCATAAAATCTCCAAATTCACTTAGCCAATCACAAGGAGCTACAATTTACCATAATATCATGCACATGAAAGTGAGCATGATGGGCTCTCTCCCCGCAGGAGATCTTGCCCTTTTCTGCACGTGACAAGCAGGGGTATCAGGTTTTGCAAGGAATACCCATTGCTAACTAAGTTCAAATTTCTTAGCCAGGCATAATCTTTTCCAGAACTTATCCTTGTGGCATTACTTCCTGATGCCTCACTGGCCATGGTTCTGAGATAATCCCAGAATCCCCCCTTATCTCCTGTTCGCCTGCCTCTTACTCTAGTCATTGCTGTGTGACCAGCTCTGAGAAGGTTAACCTAACATCATGTCATCTCAGCTGCACCAAGCATCTGTCTCTCTCTGCTCGGAGGCTCCTAGGATACCTTGGGGAAAGACACTTGCAGAAACTTGCTTGGCACTCACATGTACATACCTGGAAATGAGATGGGTCTGCCCATGAAGAACCCTTGACCAGTAGGGGGTGGGAGTGGGTGGGAACCTACTACTCTCTTGGGTCCTTCAGGCGCACAATTCTGAGACGCATTCTACCTACACGGTTCCTCAGAGGGTCCCAGTAGAATTGAGTCATAGCCACCCATGGCAGCACTGAGCTCAAGAACATACCCTTGCACTGGCTTATCTCGTTTCCCTGCTTCATTTCTCCATGCCCCATTCCTATTCCCTGGAGTTACTTCTTACCATCTGAATGCAAACCCTTGTCTCAGGTTCTGCTTTCCAGTATAAACCCAGGATAAGACAGATTCAGTGAAAATGAGCTTCTTTTCTCTACCAAGTACACCCAACCCATTGGGTTTCTTCCCTCTGTGCCTCTGCACATGCTTTTGCAAACATTTCAACCACTTTCATCACTGTGTGATGACCCCTGCCTATGTCTTCCTGACACTCTACATCTGTCCAAAGTGTTTAGAGGCTGTTCCTTATTCTCCCAAGTAAATCCAACATCTTACCTTCTTTGATGTCTATGGCACTTTGCCTTTTCAGATGACAGAAATTTCTTTTGTTAGACTTGTGCTAGAATTATTTCTCCTTGTCTTGGTCTCTTTGCTCCTTTCTCCTCAACCAAATCCTAGGTACACAGAGGGCAGAGATTGTGACTTTGATATATCTATACTCCTTAGGTGCCAAATCTTGCCTCCTACATAACAGCTGCTCAAAATATATTGTTGAAACAAATGAATTCACGTTGCATGTATTAGCATCTCCCGGTGATACTGAAATGTGTCAGAGTGGAGTTTGCTTTATCGTGACAGAGCCAACCCTAATTGCAAGAAGGGTGCAAGGAACATCAAATTCCTCAGAGAAGGTGGGGAAGGAAAGCACAGAAAAGTTGGCTAGGAATTTCCCTGTCTCAACTCTTCTTCCTCCTCCCCGTATGCCAATATCGGACCTTAGGAGACTGCGATGATGTTAGCATATCCTTCCAGGAGGGGATAACTGCAGAAACAAAGCACAACCCAGAGCTTCTCAGAGGACCTCCAGCCAATGTCCACTGAATCGACAGCACCTCCCTCTTGGATTTTGTCCAAGTCTGCACCAACATACATTCATGCATACTCATAAAACACTTGGGGCACAGGAAAAGGATTAACAGGGGAATCCAGTATTTCAGTTTTTTTTCTCTGACAAGGTCAGGACTAAGCATAAATAACCCCAAGAATGGCTTTGAGAGGCTTGTAGTGGCAATGAAATGGACACAGAGTAAGCAAGTTTTCTCAGAAAAGCTGAAAAGAATGTGAGCTCTGTAAATAGCTGAATGTGTAGAAAAAATAGTAGACAGTGATAAAATAAAAACCACAACATAACACTAGGCTGTTTTTATAAATATTAACTTCTCAGAAATCCCAAGAGCACTGGAGGTGAGCAGGAGTTAGATGGCTGGCCCATCCAACACTGCACCCTCCGACAGAGGAAGTGAAGAAGTGGTGGTGGAGGAGGAGGAGAAACCATAGAAGGACCCACCACGAGGTATTCTCAGATATTTTATTGGCTCTCCTAGTTTGGGGGAGGTTTTAGTCTGTTTGGGCTACTGCAACAAAATTCCATAGACTGGTAGGCATAATAAGAACAAACATTATGTCTTGCAGCTCTGAAGACTGGGAGTGTGATATAAGGGTGCCAACATGGTCAGGTGAGGGCCCTCAGAGGGTTGCAGATGTCTCATTGTGTCCTCACACGGTGGAAGGGGAGAAAGTCTCCTAGGCCTCTCTCATTTGGCTGTCGGTTTTGTTGACGACCGCCCTGCTTTCAGGATCTAATTACCTCCCAAAGTCCCCACCCCATCCCCATCCCATTGGAAGTGAGGATTTCACCATATGAATTTTGAAGGAATCAGACATACCCATTCCCACACCCTATCTTTTCCATCTCAGTTACTCAAGATAGAAACTTAGGAGTCACCCTTGATTCTTCCTTTCCTTCAAGCCCTACCTCTAATCCATGAAGTCTATCTCCTAAGAACTCTACCTTCAAAGATCTCCAATCCACCCATCTCTATTCAGCTTCTCTGCCATTCTCCAATCCAAACCAGGCAGCCACCATAGCTGGCTGGTGCTGTAAATCAGACTCCTGACTGGTGAGTTCCATCTATTCCACACTCTGCCCATTCAATTCGGTCTCCATGAGTCAGTCAGGATAATCTGGATAAATGTAAATCTAAACTATGTCATTTCTTTTTTTTTTTTTAAATAACATATAATGTATTATTTGCTTCAGGGGTACAGGTCTGTGAATCATTAGTCTTACACAATTCACAGCACTCACCATAGCACATACCCTCCCCAGTGTCCAACCCAGCTACACTATCCCTCCTCCCCCCCCCCCCAGTAACCCTCAGTTTGTTTCCTGAGATCAAGAGTCTCTTATGGTTTTCTCCCTCCCCGGTCACTTCTTGTCTCATTTTTTTCCCTCCTTACACCCCACAATCCCCCGCCTTGTCTCTCAAATTCCTTATATCAGAGATCATATGATAATTGTCTTTATCTGATTGACTTATTTCACTCAGCATAATACCCTCTAGTTCCATCCACAGTGTTGCAAATAGTAAGATTTTGTTGTTGTTGTTGTTTTTTAAGATTTTATTTATTTATTTGACAGACGGAGAGCACAAGTAGGTAGAGAGGCAGGCGGTGGCAGGAGGAAGCAGGCTCCCTGCCGAGCAGAGATCCCCATGTAGGACTCCATCCCAGGACCCTGAGATCATGACCTGAGCTGAAGGCAGAGGATTTAACCCACTGAGCCACCCAGGCACCCGAGATTTTGTTTTTTGATGGCTGCATAGTATTCCATTGTATATATACACCACATTTTCTTTATCCATTCATCTGTTGATGGACATCTAGGTTCTTTCCATAGTTTGGCTATTGTGAACATTGCTGCTATAAACATTCAGGTGCATGTGCCCCTTCGTATCCCTACATTTGTGTCTTTAGGGTGAATACCCAGTAGTGTGATTGCTGGGTCATGGTGTGTAGCCCTATTTTCAACTTTTTGGGGAACCTCCATACTGTTTTCCAGAGTGGCTGTACCAGCTTGCATTTCCAAAAACAGCATAGGGTTCCCCTTTCTCCACATCCTTGACAACACCTGTCGTTTCCTGACCAGTTAATTTTAGCCATCCTGACTGGTATGACGTGGTATCTCACTATGGTTTTGCTTTGAATTTAAACTATGTCATTTCTATGTTCACTCCTTCAGTGCCTCCATTTGCACTTAGAAGAAAATATAAATTCCCTTCCACAGTTTTAAGGATTTCTTGGATGGCCTGACCCCTGCCTCCAACTCCTCTACCTTCCAGGGTGGTTCTTTTCCCTATCGCTCTTCTCGGTCATGCCAATTTTCAGTTCCTTGAATATGCCAAATTCTTTATAGCCTCAGGACCATTGCATATGCTGTGCTTGTGCACATCCTTATACATATATTAGTTTACTCTCATTCTCTGCCTTTCTTATATGTCAAAGAAGCCTCCCCTAAGCACCTTCTCCTTCTCAAAGAAGCCTCCCTTAAGCACCATGTCCATAGTA